GGGGGGGGGGGCGGAGGAGCAGCCTCTAAATCTCGAGACAAAGTGCTCGAACGAAGGAAGATTCGCGGAGCGGCGGTAGTTGCGGAACAAAACTGTTAGGTTCATTGCAGCGGCGACGCGTCCTCGGCAAGGCAGAACGGAGACCTTAAGGATCCTCAAGAGTGAAGTGCCGAAGGAAAGGAGGAGGTACTCACCGGTACTGGTAGCATTGAAGGCCAACATAGGTGGGGGCGGCGGAATTCCCCTCTGGCAGGCGACCTCGCTGGCAGTCAAACTGACAACTCCGCCGCTCTCTTTGTACATGAAGCACAATCTTCGACTGTTTCTGTACGGCTGGGGCCTGTTGTTCTCGCTGGACCAGCTCGTGCCAGGTGCCAGTTGGGTGGCGATCACGAATTGGGTGCCCTCCGCGTCGAACCACCTTCCGTGGCAGGAGTACGCTGCGAAAGAGAAGGCAAAGGCTTCTTTATCCCTGCCGCTCTAACGGAACGAACTTGCAGAATAATGGTGGGACGTATTTCGAGTCGCTCGTTAACCGTCGAGTGCCATTATCCTTTAAACAAACTCCGACAACTTTGGAAGTTGAACGTCGACGAATAGAGAAGCTACGGATAGTAAAGCTGAAAGATCTTGCTACAATAACTGCACGGACGAATCTATACGCGAGTCGTATTATCGATGCAATTTTAATTATCAGTGAGCGCAGCGATCCCGCTCAGATCGGTGGTACTTTCCAACGAAATTTAAATAACGTTTTATTGCCAAGCCGTGAAAACAGAAATGATCGAATTTCTGTCAAATTGAAATTTTCACTCACCGATCGCGTTGTCTTCGACGCAGTCCGTCTGAAATTCCATTCTGTCCGCGGTAGAACATCCTATGGTTATGGTAGTAACCTCGGAGCTGCATCTAGAGATATCTTCTTCTCTCTTCTCCCTTTTCTCGAAAGATCCGTTGCTAGGATTCAGCTGCTCGACGTTTCTCCTCGTCCTCGCCAGCAGGCTCGACGTCGTCTCTCTGCCTGACCTCTTTTTTGGCAGGTTAGCGGTGTCCGGGTAATCGCCGAAATAATCACCCTGAATCTCGAGCATGCTCGAGCCATCCGTATCGTCGAAATCGGTTGCCCAGAATTGCCTGATTCGTGCGAAATCGTCTGCGTCTACCCGGAAGTCCTCCATCTTTGGGCTTCTTCTTGATCTATTGCTCGTTCGCTGGATACTAATAGCTGAACGTTTGGCAAGATCGTGCGTTCTTCTGAGTTTCGACCTCGATACGCTTTCGGTCGATCGCTGGTCCTCCGATCTTCTGATCTTGGATCTAGTGTGGTCGCGCAGCAGGTCCTCGATATCCAAAGTTCGCTTGGACGACACCTCCTCGAGGCTGTGATCGCGATGGTTTCTGTTGTTGCGATTCGATCTGGCGCGCCTGCCCATTCGCTCATGGACGAGGTATTCGTTGTTCGCCCTTCGTTTCTCCACGTCGAAGTCGAGCTTCCGGCCGCGTCGATCTTCCTGGGTTCGTTCCTGGGCGTGCCGAACTTTTTCTCTGTCACGCCTGACGCCCTCCTGGTGTTGGTTCCTCCGGCTTTCACGGATGTTCCGTTGGTTCCGGTTCACCCCCGTCACCGTAAATTTGCCCAAGTACGGGCACGTACGTGGCTCCGGGGAACTGGCTGAAATTTTCAGAAAATCGTTCCGTGAGAAACGAGAAAATTCTTTTCCAGAATCCTTGCGGCTGTTCCATTAGAATACCGTTTATTTTCGTCGGTTCCCACCACAGTCCCTAGGCACGTCTTTGCGATCGATTCTACCGACACGTTATGAGAGCGAGACGTTTCGAAAGTTCTTAAAAAGTATCGAGTGAAAAGAATTTTACGCATTAGCAGTTGAGTGTACTTTGTAATTTTCTATAGAAGAAATGGGAAATATCGACGAAAAGGAGGTGGGGGAGGGGATACTTTGTCGAAATGCCAAACGTGTTCCGAATCGATTAGGACCTTTTCCTAACGCCGCCGACCCGGCATCTCGATAAACCAGCTGTCTATAAACTTTCTCTGCAAGATCCCTTAAGCAGAGAGACACCGGCAAAGTTACCGAGAAACATCGCAACCGGAGATCAGCTGAATTACAAATTACCTGGTTCACGTACACCGAAAGCAATCAACAAGAAACTTTCGATGGGGGTCTATCGATCTTCCCTAACGACGCCTTCTTGCCGAAAGATCGATCGGATCGGCCAACTGCGAAACACCTCCAAAACACACTGATTCGGGTCAGAATTCAAGGCGACCCTTCTTGCATCGATCGATTAACCTCTCGAAATATCCAGTCGTCGACAAGAAAGATGACAAAGAGTAAGTCGTCGGATAGATAGGACGGAACACGCTATTATACAGAGTGGCAAAAATCGCGAAGCGAGCAAGAGGAGCGCATTATGGCTTTAATGGAAGCTCGTTAGATAGCGAGAAGGAGAAAGAAAGGAATTGCAGGGATTCGTCTAGGAGACGAAGAAGGAACGCTATAACGAGAGAGCGTAAATCGGCCATAGGCAGGCACAATGCGAACTCTAACGAGACAAATCTGACGTCGCACCCTCAGGCTAGTCCCTCTCCCTCCGCTTGGCAACAACCCCTTCCCGCAGCACTCGCTGTCTTGCCGAAGATTCGCGACAGAATCCCGGCTTTTCTGTTTTCTTCCGTTGTTTCGGGGCCACCGCCACTCGCCGGGGTATTATTTTCCGGCTTAATGAGGCGGCTCGAGGTAGGCAAGAATCCAAGATGCTAAACAAACGTCGCAGACCCGACGTGGCGAAATATTTGCTAAACTTTCGGCCGTGCGGCCTGAACAACTGTTTGCCGGTAGCCATCGATTTTTTGCCTTTTAAATTTCACCTCGATCATTTCGAGAAAACTTCGACCCGCTATCTTCTGTTTGCCAATGTAAAGGATTTTCCTCCTATCAACGATAAGATTTCAATGTTTCCCGGGCGTTGGAGTAGCTTTCGTCACCTTAGACGAATACCGGTGTCTTATCTTTATAGTTGCACGTTTTATATTCTCTTCTAAGCCTTCGGCTGTATTCTACGAATCAGTTTTATTTCGCTGACGATATACATAGCTGTGTACGAAAGCATGCGAACATTTATCGCAGACAATTTCTACGAGTATATTACGTATGCTATACGAAAGTTTTTGAAATTTCATTGGCATCGTAACGAGACATTTCCGATCTGAAAATGTGTTATCCAAGTTATAATTTTTTTCATTGCATTTAGTATAACGTTGAGGTTTATTAATTGTCGAAGTGATATTTTAAACTAAACTTACGCTAACGTATCCGCTAGTTTCTACGTAGATTTCGAAATTTGTTTCAAACTTTATCAACGTAATCATGATAGCCGGGTTTCGTTACCGCGCTAATGAAATTTCGAAACGTTTCGTACAACACGTACGATATATTTACGAAATGCTTCTTCTACAAGCGCTGGAATACTTTCACGAGCCAGTATATACCAAGTATGAAATTATAGCAAATTCAAGCGGGAAGGAAGTCATAATTTGGGACATTTTCCTCACCCTAAAGTTCTTTCCTTTCGATACGATCGAGAAATCGCTTTCGATGCTCGTTTGGGAAAAGCCAGTCACAAAAATCTCGTTATTTTCATGGTTAATTAGACATGTATTACATCGGGTCAAAGGCGATTCCAGCAAAGGAGGCTTGATTTTTCCGACTCGTTAGGCGATTCCCTCTACGAAGGTCCTGGCCAAAGGGATGGACCAAGGGTGGGATCCCCGTGAGGTCACCCTTCGAGTCTCTTTCTTTCTCTACCTTTCCCTTTTTGTATTTCGATCGGGAGAACAAATCGTGAACTTCGACGATCGTTAATTACGTTCGTCGAGCGAAACTTTTGACAATGTATTGTGGAATTGCTGCCGGGCCACGAATTTCAATGGCAAAGTAGCAAAGTTCTATGAGTGGTTACCCCTGTAACTTTCCACTTTTCGTTTAATTCCAACGTGCTTCGTTACGTCCATGTCATAAAATACCGTACTTGATATAATCGAAATTTATTAAGGATTTCATATACAATAGAAAATTAACAATACCGCTGGATTTCCCGTGTAATTTAACGAATCAGATTTTATTCTCACGCTTTAATCACGTTCCGCAGGCATTTCGTATACGATTTACTTCTCCGCTCCGTTTGTGTCATTTGGCGCGTCCTAATTTCGTTACGTAACCATTCGTACGAATTCTAAATACAGGGAAAACTGTGGCGCGTATCGGCTGGACGTTGTATCGGACGTTGGATCGATATTAAAAAATTCCAACAGCTTCTTTCGACCGTTCCTTCGAGCAATCGGCAAAAGTTGGCCAAACAATTAAATTTAATTGACGGGTGGTCGACTGCCGTGAATCGCGTGTCGCTCTCTCGACAAAAAGAGGAAACGGAAATGGACGCGTTATCATGGCCGCGGATCAAGGACGGCTCCTCGACACGGCACTTCCAACTTTTTAATTAATCAATCGACCGACGCCCGTGAACGACTTTCTTTGTCGGCCGGCCGAAACGAAATGGCCGACCGCGGATCTGATCGATCAGGAAAATTTGCCGCGCGCGACCTCCACAGTATGCGCACGTACACCACATACGCAATCTCGTTGCTCTTTTCTGTTCAAACCGTCGAAAATTTAATTACATGATATTGGCTTTCCACGAGGATACTTTCTGTGACAATGTCCAAAGCGTGGAAAAACGCGGAATGAAATTTCGCCAACCGCGGTCCGGCCGCAATTTGTGTCGGCGAAGCAATAACCGCAACGGAGCTTTCAAAAAGTCGCAACATTGACAATACACGTATACATAGATTTTTTTGTTCGCGTTCCCTCTTGGCGAGCCATAGACGCGAGAGAGGCAACAATACGTTATACGATACTTAGAGCGGTAGCCCGAAATAAATCGCGTTAAAGAGCAAACACATTATTTACCGCAACGCCGGAAAGGGACGATAAATATCCAGGTTTCTCTCCTTCGAAAGCCCCGGGGAATAAATCAGCCGAGGCGTAGGTACATTTAACAATCGTCAGCTTGCGCAACCGTATAGCTCTTCCGGAAAGAAATCTACGGGGTTGGCCATGGCGAGAAGGGAGCGGCCCGCGGGCGAGAAAGGACACGATAGAATGGCATGCCAATTATCTTTCGCGCGAGTCGCAGTCGAGACGCTTTCTTTGTTTCGTTCGGCCGGAAATGACGCCTCGATTCTCGCCAGAGCGATAAATTTCCAGCGGAAATAACTTTTGGCAGTGAAAGAGGGCGTGGACTGCCGCTGCCCTCGTCGAAACAGGGAGGACGTTTCGCGCTCTCGGAAAACCGGAGGAAACATCACCGGCTTTCCAAAGATATTTTTCGCTATACTCGAGCAAACTTCTCCACCGTTTTCCATCGCATTTTCTTCCATAAAAATACGTAAAAATACGTAAAAATACGTATACATGCATACAGTCGTCCGTGTTAACTTTGGAAACATGTCTTGCTTCGTTTCTATCATCTATCGCGTTACTGCGATGGACCGACGGCGCTCTCGAACGTATTTGTTCCTGTGAAAACATTGTTCTGTTCATCTTCTATTTGACTAGCAATATTGTTTAAACATTCGCGTATGGAAAATGGAATATTGCTCCCTTTATGGCTCGTTTTATAGCCATCCTCGTTATACAACTTGTATAATGTCTATCTCGTACGATTCCTTTCGAACATGTTATTTTACAACTAAGCGAAAAGTCATATCGAAGTAAACGAATCCACTTCCGTGTATAAAATCCCGATAAAGAAAAATAGATTTTTTTAATAAAACTCGGATATTTATCCTCGCTACTACAGACAGATTGATATATTTTAAACGACCAAAGTACGAGGTATAGGATATTTGGCGCGTTCCGTAACATATCCATCGACGAAAAGGGAATGATCGGTGATCGGTAAAATAGGATTCAAAAGATAGGAGGATCGCTCATAAAGTAAAGGGGCAACAGGTCCAGAATGTATTCGAGAAAATCCGAAAAATGTTTCGTATGGAATAAAAACATTTGAAAAATATGTACGGGCTAGCAACAAAAATATTTTATTATCGGCGAAAGCACACGCGTTCGCTATATATTTATATTCGCTGTGTAAAACGTTTCCTTTCCTGCTCCGTGTAAATTCTCCCTTCTAGTCTCTGCCCATTGCCCTTGGTCGACCCCGTTTGCTACACGAACTTCCTGTTTTCCCCGGTCACGAAGATGCAACGTTTGGAAATGGGTTCGCTCGTCGGCGGAATTGGATTTTAATTCGCATTAACTTCCCACCGTGGACTCCGCGGATTGATTTTCTCCTCTTTGATTTCGCTCGAACGAGTACGACCAATATTTTCGCTTAGTCCCGCTCTTCCACGTCAAACTTCTTTATACTCTCTCGCTCTCTCCCCTTCCTGCTCCCTTTGCTCCCTCTCTCTCTCTCCCTCCTCTTTTTCCTCCCTTGTGCCTCCTTTTCTTCTTGCTTTTCTTTTTTACGTAAGCAACTGCGAGGAAGACCGAGGGTACGCCCGGTAATTTCTCTCCCCGATAAAAGAAAAGCTTTGTCATCCGCTCTTATTTTCCGAATTAATGGATTGTTGCGCGACACGATAATGGA